AACTGTAGCATGGTTAGTAGCGTCCGGAGCACGATAGCAACTCTGCGATCCGCCATTTTTGTCGTTGTTGGTGGCGAAACACATCAGCAATGGCGCGGGGTATGCGCAAGCCCCCAGGAAGTGCGCCGGACTCAGATGAAAATATTCGTGCTGGCCAAACGGCGGTACTACACTTCCGTTTGGTTGCCAGGCCCGGAAACACTTTTTCCCATTGACTTACATGGGGAAAGAGTGGTCTGTAACTCGTTGGATAATTTTTTTTAAACTACATAAACTACCCAGTATGAACACTTGTATAGCCCTTATTAAAAACATTTGTTCCTCAAGTTGTAAAAATGTGCTAATAACGTTATTCTGAGAGTTATTTCCCTCTGCATTATGAACGCGCATCTAACCCACGGGACTGCGCCGCCCGGCACGTTCATGTTACGTGTCCCGACCAATCAGAGCACACTGTGCTCACAGGGAGGGTGGGGGCTGAAGCTATTGGAGCTACAACGAGCCGTTAAAGGCAGAGTGAAATTCAGTGAATACACGTAGTTTACAGAGATGCTGTATGAGAAACCAATGTGAGTTGCGTTTATCTTTACCCATGGATGCACAATAAGAACGGATCCATATCGTCTTACTGCCATCCCACGGAGCTGTAATAATGGATATATTGCACATGTTTGCTGTAATTCATTATCATACTACATGGGCTGTATGATTAAATCTTGTACCGTAAATGTTGTATTAAATAAAGTTAATATTACCGACATTATTAACGTCCCTGTAGCTTCGTATTGCACTAAGAAGCTTATTGCACTGTATATACATATATATATATATACAGTGCAATAATTATTTCATGCTAAATTAAGCTCTGTTGGATATCACTAGATCCTGTTACAGCGTAATATAAGTACATAACGATTGATGTGTACATTAGCATCATTACTAGCTAGCCGCTAGCTGCTGCCTCGTTCATATCAAATCCATGATAACAACAAACCATTACCATGCTGTCATGAACGCATGGTGCTGTTACGTTTACGCAAATTGACTGCTTGATGTGAACGAGCATTTTGGTTAAAGTTGCGCATGCTCTATGAGCGCACATACGGGTACTTCTCAGGCATGCTGGGTAATCTGTGACGTTTCACTCTCTCAAAAGGTGGGCCATTTTATCATCATGCGCTAATTAGCAGCTCTCATAGGAATGAATGAGGCCCCGCCTCCCACGCTGTATCCAGTTCTTATTATACATCCATGGGTACGCGGAGGTGAGCAGCAGAGGTGGGGAGAGGCGGGGCTATTGCGCAATCATTATCAGAAAATGATCGTATAGGGCGCACACACGGAGCTGTTTGACCCCCCAGAGCGTTGCGTATGCCGTTCTATCCACCTTGGGACCCGTTATCGTTTCCTCAGTCGTTTAGTGCCGTATGCGGTCGTCCTCGTGTGGCCGAATGGTCTATATGACACTAAACAGTAACGCAAACGGCCGTTTTCGTCCTCGTGTGGCCGGGGCATCAGTGAGAGCAAGGAAATCCAGAGACTGCAGGGAGGCGTAGCCAGAGATGAAGTCAGCCTTAGGAACAGCTGACTGGCAGTTCCACAGGCCACCTGAAACTAGATGTTGGATCTCAGTGGAGCATGTGGGATAGACGAGAGCAGGCCGGTTATATCGATTACGAGATACACGGGGCCAGTGATAATTGCGAGAAGACACATGAACAGGAATGGAGAAAATACACATGATTATAGCATGAGGGGCTAAACAACCAAATAAAATAAAACACCAGCGATACTTAGCTCAATCAAAGTAGGATTTGCCTCGTCTTTGCCTCCCTCGTGACTCCCGCAGGACTCTAATGTCTTTGCCAGTCTTTGACTCCCGCAGGACTCTAATGTCTTTGCCAGTCTTACTCCTGTAGGACTCTAATGTCTTAGCCTGTCTGACGCTGAAGCTGACGCTCCAGGAAAGGGCTTCCTAAAATGGACACCTGATTGCTGAGTTCTCACAGCTGTGGGGCAACGTCCTTTTAATTAGTTAACTCTGCAGCTGGTGGCCCTCAAAAGGAAATCTAGACTGGCTTCCTCCTGATGTGTTATTGTCTTTTAAGTCAATTACATTAAACCCTAAGTTATAAAGTTATGAGTTTAACCCTTAATACAGTTACACCTACTCAATAAAGCTCTTAGTATTCTACAAATGTTTAAATCAAAGTTAACCCTAGCAGTCAGTTAGTTCACTTTTAAGGTTTCAGTCAAATGACTTGTCCCAAGTTTCTGCCTGACAGATACTGTAGCGGTTTTGAGTTTTAAAAACACAATTCCAGTCAGATCAACTACAGAGCATTGATACAGAGTACACACACTGAAACAGAGAAGTCTAAAAACACAATGTTACTCACACAATTCTAGAAGTCTCCAGTAGCTTTCTTGTCAAAATCGAGTTGCACACACAATATCTATTAGACTTCACATTTAGTAGATTAGGTATTTTTGATTGTATCATATTATCACAAGTCTGCGTCTAGTTTTTTAATTTAAATTTTGATTAAAAACCTCAACCTAATGATCTAAAATGAGATGTGTTTTACAATTTGCGCTTCTCCCTCAATATCTGCTTGCACAGAGTGGCTTCAGCCAGGAGACAGAGACGGGGGTTGCTTCAGTTCGTCACGGTTAATGACCATCTGACTTTGGCCTTGAAGTCTTTCACTGGGCATGTAGAGAGAGAAAGAGAGAGGGAGAGAGGGAGAGGGAGGGAGCAGAAGGGAAGCCCATTCACTACGAGAGGGACAGAGGAGGGGAGAAAGGGAACAGCCAGAACCGAGGATGGCTAGATGGACTGTGTGTGTGTGTGTGTGTGTGTGTGTGTGTGTGTGTGTGTGTGTGTGTGTGTGTGTGTGTGTGTGTGTGTGTGTGTGTGTGTGGTGTGTGTGTGGTGTGTGTGTGTGTGTGTGTGTGTGTGTGTGTGTGTGTGTGTGTGTGTGTGTGTGTGTGTGTGTGTGTGTGTGTGTGTGTGTGTGTGTGTGTGTGGTGTGTGTGTGTGTGTGTGTGTGTGTGTGTGTGTGTGTGTGTGTGTGTGTGTGTGTGTGTGTGTGTGTGTGTGTGTGTGTGTGTGTGTGTGTGTGTGTGTGTGTGTGTGTGTGTGTGTGTGTGTGTGTGTTGGAGAGTTTTTGAGAAAGAGGGAGGGCGAGGGATGTGCGCCGCAGGGTTAGTGAAGGATGATAATTCACCGTTAAGCCTCCTAGAAAGACCAGCTGGCCCCTCTGGAGTCAGATGTCAGCCTTAGCAGCCAGGGCTGTTGGTGTGTGTGTGTGTGTGTGTGTGTGTGTGTGTGTGTGTGTGTGTGTTGGCACGCATACATGTATATACATGTATGTGTGTGTTTTGCGTGTGTGCTGTCGTCAGATGCAGCTATTGACCGCTAGAAGGAAAACACCTGCATGGGGAGCTGTAGATGTTATCAGTCTAAGCTCCCTATCTCAGTGAGAATAGGATTGGTCAGAACACACACCATGCACACACACACACACACCACAAATCAGATGCACACACGCACAAATACACATGCACACACACCATCTGCTAGTTAGTTAGGGCTATTGTTGTGAGCCATTTGGTTAGTGTGTAGAGAGGTTTGGCTTTGTGCTGATCTTGACCATCAGTTGGCCAGCTGGCCTGACTTTGGTTTTCCACTTGGTCGGAACAGAAAACACAACGGGAGGCAAACCAAACTGAGCCTCGGAGCTCCAAACAAGCATGTTAACAAATAAAATAACAAGTTAGGTACTTTCATACATTTTTTTAAGATTTCTTTTTGGGCCACTTGTGCTTTTATTGGAGAGACAGATACCCCTTTTTCCACTGAAATGAGTTCGGGTCCAGCTCTGTGCTGGGGCTAGTTTGATTTGCAGTTGGTACAGAAGTTGAACTAATCAGTATAAAAAGAAGACAACAGACAAACAGCTTATGCCAGACGAGTGTATAGTGCTGTTCAAAACGGCCAATGATAGGAAACGTTTGGTCTTTCAATGCATGGACTTGGTTTCTTCTTTTATAAGGTCACATTGTTCTGTTGTCTTACATAATACATTTAAATAAAACACATCTTGTTGATATTTATTTTCTCTTTTATTTCTTTTCGTGTTAGAATATTGAGAATTTTAAAGTCGCAGCCTGGTCACACTTTGGATGCCTCTTATGTACAACAATATTATCTAATAAGTGTTATAAACCAACACTCACACCCCCCCACACACACACACCCCACACACACACACACACACACACACACACACACACACACACACACACACACACACACACACACACACACACACACCTGTCTGCCACAGGTTATTTTCTCGATGTGGTTTTCTGCTCCTTCTCTCTCTCTGCCTCCTTTTCCCTCACTAATCTATACTAGCCAGGTCATGCTGAGTCTGCTGTGGTCCCTATTGAAAAGGTTGAATTATTCAGCATTGTAAGCATGTGTGTGTGTGTGTGTGTGTGTGTGTGTGTGTGTGTGTGTGTGTGTGTGTGTGTGTGTGTGTGTGTGTGTGCGTGTGTGCGTGTGTGTGTGAGAGTGTCTGTGTGTGTGCGCGTACACGTCTGCTTGGGTACAGCCTGCTGTTTCCTTTAATCAGGGGACGGCCGGTCTGCATGCATACCTGTATTGTTGGGTCATGTGTATTCAGGGTTTTGGCGTGTGTGTGTGTGTGTGGAGAGCTCAACAGGGGTGTCGGTGATTATAGAGCTACTATGGGAAACTGCACGTCAAAGGGTCGCCGGGTCAACAGTGCTAAATCAGGCACTACGTTGTCTTTCAGGGTCATATGATATCTGCTTGTGGTTGTTTGTGTGAAAGAAAGTTCAAACAGGGTGTGTGTGTGTGTGTGTGTGTGTGTGTGTGTGTGTGTGTGTGTGTGTGTGTGTGTGTGTGTGTGTGTGTGTGTGTGTTTGTTTTTTTGTCAATGTTTCACCAGTATGTTCTTTCCCTCCAGGTCGAAATGAGCTGATAGCCAGATACATCAAGCTCCGAACGGGCAAGACGCGGACGAGGAAACAGGTATGGGAGTCAACACTAAATCCATTCATGCTGTCGACTGTATGTGTCAGTATATCACATTATAACCAGTGACATGGTGCTGAATTGCCAAAATAAAACATGCATGGATAAAAAGTGAAACAGTGTCTTTCTATTGAGGAGCTGACGATATTTTACCCTTTATTTTCGTCATTTATTTATTCCCCTTTTGCACCAGATAAACAAATGAATATAATAAGATCAAATGTATTTCTTTCTTTCATTCAGCCTTTACACTCTAGCTCATTCACTCAAACACATTTATGAAACTGTCTTTAATAACACATTCTTTCAAAAGACAAATAATTATTTTTGTGAAAAATAACTTGCAAATAAGAACATTTTTAACATTCAGCGGTAGCATCAGACTTCTAAAATGTTGTCATTTTGATGGATATTGTTGTTAAATGTCCCTCCATAATCTATATTTACTTTTAATAAGATTTGAATAATATAAACAATAATAGCATTTCATTGCCAATTATTCTTTCAAATATTTTAAATAATTAATTTACAGAACCTGCTTTATTTTACATATTTATAAAGGCATGGAGAGTAAACATGGACAGAGACACAAACTGAGAGCGGATAGTTACGCAAAGGAATTGTCTCACTTTCTACAATTTACTACATACTTCTACATTCTAAGATATTCTTACATTTCCTTACAAACCAAAAGTGTTTCTGATTTCAAGAAACATGACGACTTGAACAATGATGACTTAGTGTACAAAAAAACGACAGTTCCCATTGAGTTTTATAAGCATGGTAAAAACAGTGAACAAAATATATCATTGTCAACCATGACATTGGATTAGATTTACTACATCGATCCCAATTTGGACAATGTTGTTTTCATGTACAATGCCCTGTTTACATGCAGTTAAATGTAAAATAAAATAGAAAATAAACAGTTAATATACATATATCAACAGTAATGCGTGTGAATGTTTCATTTTATAGATATATTAATGCAACGTAAGCAGCAATATAAGCACAGCAAATATGATTACATTACCTTCTAAGAAGAGGCACTTTCACGGAGTGGATCTGGAGCCTTAGCCAACAGCCACCATGCCCTGTTGACATTATGTTTTTATTTCTTTCTTTGGACTAGTTCATTCCTGGTCATGTGTAACTATAACAACAGATGTCATTTGGAGGGCCTCTGTGCGTTTCAATTGCATATTTCATTAAAAGAGTACATTTTACACTCTGATAAACATTTGTTTACAGTTTCTTGACCGACCATAAAGGGGAACGTCTGCATAGTGTAATATCTTAGTGTTGTGTTCCCAGGTGTCTTTTTGCTCTCAAAAGATGGGCACAGATTGGTCTATTCACTGTTGTCAGGGGAGTATGGTGTGTGTGTGTGTGTGTGTGTGTGTGTGTGTGTGTGTGTGTGTGTGTGTGTGTGTGTACCTTTCTAGCGTGGCAATAGTCCTTTCATAACCATGGCAACTCACTTTTTGGTCCTTCCTCCTCTCTTTTCTACCCTCCAACCCCCCTTTCCTTTTAACCTCTCCTCTGTCCTTTCCTCTCCTCTCCTCTGTCCTCTCCTCTCCTCTCCTCTGTCCTCTCCTCTCCTCTCCTCTCCTCTCCTCTCCTCTGTCCTCTCATCTCCTCTCCTCTCCTCTTTCCTCTCCTCTCCTCTCCTCTCCTCCTCCTCTCCTCTCCTCTGTCCTTTCCTCTCCTCTCCTCTCCTCTCCTCTCCTCTCCTCTCCTCTCCTCTCCTCTCCTCTCCTCTCCTCTCCTCTCCTCTCCTCTCCTCTCCTCTCCTCTCCTCCTCCTCTCTCCTCTCCTCTCCTCTCCTCTCCTCTCCTCTCCTCTTCTCTTCTCTCCTCTCCTCTCCTCTCCTCTCCTCTCCTCTCCTCTTCTCTTCTCTCCTCTCCTCTCCTCTCCTCTCCTCTCCTCTCCTCCTCTCCTCTCCTCTCCTCTCCTCTCCTCTCCTCTCCTCTCCTCCTCTCCTCTGTCCTTTCCTTTCCTGTCCTCTCCTCTCCTCTGTCCTCTCCTCTGTCCTCTCCTCTCCTCTCCTCTCCTCTCCTCTCCTCTCCTCTCCTCTCCTCTCCTCCTCTCCTCTCCTCTCCTCTCCTCTCCTCTCCTCTCCTCTCCTCTCCTCTCCTCTCCAGGTATCCAGTCACATCCAGGTTTTAGCCAGAAGAAAATCCAGGGAGTTTCAATCCAAACTAAAGGTAAGTGGGGAAGAAATGCTGTATCAGAAACCGAGCACTGATAAACAGGTGGTTGCTGGGAAATGCAGTTCAAAAACGCTGCATTAGTGTTTAAATGACAGAGAAATTAAAACATGTAAGCTTTCCTGGAGCGTATAGAGAAGAGAGGACTCATTATGAATCTGGATTCAGTGTGTGTCCCCTGCTTGTTAACATACTTGCTGTGGCTGGATGTTTGCTCTCACAGTGACTCCGGTATCCTAGGTATCTCATTAGGCCGTTAATGTTGTCTCCTCCTCCTCCTCCTCCTCCTCCTCCTCCTCCTCCTCCTCCTCCTCCTCCTCCTCCCATCCTCCTCCTCCTCCTCCTCCTCCTCCTCCTCCTCCTCCTCCTCCTCTTCCTGTCATTCTCCTATATCCATACATTCATTAATCTGTTCCTCTCCTCTTCCCTCCCCCCTTCCTCCTCCTTCCTTTCAGTCTATTAATCCCTCACCCCTTGTGTCTCCTCTTCCCTCTCTCCCTTCTTTCTTTTTCTTGCTCGCTGATGGTTGTAATTAACTTTGTGTAAAGTAACAAAGAAGCGCTTGTTTTCCGTAGAAAAGCAGTAAGAACTCCAAATGGAATCAAAATGAGAGCTGAATTGATGTTTGCGGTCAAAAAATAAACAAGAGATTAAAATGGGTTATTAAAATCAATATAATTCTAACTGAAGTGTTTACATAAATACGTTACGGTATAGAACATTTAAATTGGCAGCTAAAAAGTGCAATCCAGCAGAATACAAATGTATCTTTATACACTACTGTTTATTTACATTATATAACGAATGTATGAGCTAGCTTGTTGTTGTATTCAAAATACAACATTTGATCAAATAGGGATCACCTTGTTAAATGGGTTTGAAGTATGTTGGCTGATGTGAGGGATATGCTTATAGGCTCAGTGCTAATCACATATTTTTTAATTATAGATATATCATTATACTTGCAGCTAATTAATATTTCCACTACCAATCATCAGTAGATCTTTTATATAATCATTTCCCAGAGCAAGGGCTTGGATTTAAAATTGCTAGTTTTGTCCAACACATTGTCCAAATTTCATTTTTGACGATATAAAATGGAGAGAAATGTAATTCTTACCATTAAAGAGGCATCGTCAGGAAACATTTGGCAGTTTTGTTAAAAGATGACATTTCATGTTGTCAGCCAATCCAATGACACGACCAAAACCAACGATTAATTGATCCTAGCAACAGGTATTGTGAATATATCACTGAAATGTCGTATTTATCGGTCTTAGAGCTCCAATTTAATCCAAAAATGATTAGAAATATATCAATGAGCCACACAATGTAGTTTATTTTGACTGGTTCACACAAATACTGCCCCAAATACTAAATAGAGCATCAAAGTATATTCATCCACGTCTCAAAATACAAATGTTTTGGTTGAGAGCTGAGAGAAAAACGGAGAGAATTGCTAACACATTTTTGCTTTTGGTCTTTTTTGGCAATAGGGAAAATATAGACCAATAACACCAATCGTTTATTTTAGTATATAACTTACAAGATTGATAGAAATGGAATGCACTATACAGTGTATAATTACAGATGCTGTATACACTGATGGCTTGAACCTGATGTAAGAGCCTTCCCCGCTGTTAGATTTCCCATTAAAGCCAAAACACATGGGTTGGTGGTTTAAAAGAAATGAGTCCAGGTCAAAGATGTTATCAAACCCATATGCTTGCTGTATTTAATATGAAAATCCAGCATGATTCCCATCTCAGTACCTCCTATAATGTTATTACCTCCCCTAGGAAGAGAGATTTCTCTCAGTGCCAATTAACTTGAGTGAAGCTGCCAATTAGTGATTCTTCAGCTATTGTGGCGCCTCTAATTCCATTTCATTCAGCTGTTTTCTGCTCAGAGCTCCATGTTGCAAAGAGTTCAGATGTTGCAAAGAGGACACCAGTGTTACGTGCCAGTCAACCTGACCTGGACGATTTCAATTTAGTGGACAAATGTTCAATATTATCTTTGTTCATTATTAAGCTTGTAAATACTTGATAAAAAATGTTTTATAAAGAAAAACATCCTTCATGCATGTGACCTAGTTTTTATTTAAATCATACATTACCACAGTGGTCAGGGGTGAAGTGCTGTATGTACCGGAGTGCACCTATGCATGCACACGCACATTTGCGGCTCGTTTTGAAGGGTCTCCAGCCAGAAGAGGAAAGTCTGTTAACAGGTCTGCAGTGATCTATCAATGAGGCTGGGTGATTCTTACAGTATCTGCTGCCCACAGCTGCTTTTCACTACAAAAAGCTCCTCCACTCTGAGATGTGCAGAGCCAGCGTTCAGAGCGCAGTGCTGTTCATGCAATGCTTAGTTTCATAAATCTGATAAAAATGAAAGCAGGGTGCTACATTATAACAACACAGTACACACATCAAATGTTTTTACTTCATATTCTTTTGCTTTGGTGAAGGAGATGTCCGGTCACTAGGCCGGTAACCAGGGCCTATTGTAGCAACTTACCAAAGTGTGCAGTTCAACCGCTGTTGTAAACCTAAACTATGTGACCATGTTGAAGAAAACAAACAATTTTAGACAAAAAATATTGCCATGGAGATATATATTCAAACTTTTTCAGCAAATAATGTAATTATTTTCATTTGTATCGATATTACAGTCACTTCTGGGTGTTAAATCTTCATCTCATTGTGGAGATTTGTCTGCTCTGCTGCAAATGTAAAAGTTCTTGATACGCTGGGAACAGCTGCAACACTTCCTGAACAATAGGCAAGTGTACAACGACATCGAGTATACATCGACATCAACAATTATTTTTCATTTTTTATGCAACCCAAACATATTATTTTTCTGCAGAATATAAAGTCCTGGGTCGTCATTTCGGTGCGCTCCAGTGGCACAATGATAGCATTTTCACATTTACACATGAGGACTTAGTGTAAATGTTCGGTGTGGAGCTTTTTGCCCTAAGGCAGCAGCCCCCCCCCCATTCTTCTTTTGCTCACCGCTCTACACTGTTGTTGCTATGACTTCCTTCCCCGGCCACAAGCCAGAGCACCACACCCAAACTAACACGCATAGAGGAAGGTATACGACATCAATCCCCTGCTTCATCACTGGGAGACTGTTTAAAGCAAAACGTGGGCTTTAGACATGGATACACATGGTTGGACACTTATTAGTGTTTGATTTTGCGGTGGTTAGAAAAGCAAAACAAGGTCAAACTCTTTAACCCTGTGTGGGCCACTTCCAGTAGAGCCTCTTGGTGTCTGAAAGGCTTACATTCTACATAATGACAAACAGGTTATAGGACCTTGTAAATAGTAATAGTATTTATGGAGATTTCCTCTTTTTTTAGCAGTTGTTTATTGTCTGAAAAGCAGTTTTTAGATCTTGAGTTCCATTTAAATGTCCAAAGTGACAAATCTCTAGGTGCCCATGCTACTTTTCCCAGTGTTGTGCTATGGTACCGCTCCATTTTTGGCAGCCAGTTTACTCACGTTTCAGTTAGACAATTTGCATAATCAAAAGATGCAGGAGGCGCCAATCTGATACCAACCATTCAGATAATGTCAACTAGGAGGAATATGACAATCATTATTTTACCCCCAGGCCCTTGTTTCTCTAGCTTTTCAATGTAATAATTTACGATTCTCTTGAATGTATGGGTCCAGAATGTAAAGTGTGTTCATGATGACGGTGATGAAGGTTATAACACAGTTGGAATGCAGGACAAAAGATAAAAAAGGATACAATAGCAAAAGTGCAATGTAGCAGAATACAAATGTATCGTACACAACTGTATATTTAAAGCATGTTATCTCTAGATCAAGCTTGTTCAAATACAATACAAATAATTGTGAACTGATAACATTTGATAAAATAGGGATTACAACCTTATTGTATTACATTGAAGAGGCCCCATTTAGCTTTTTGGGGTTCCCCCTTTACTGTTATATAGGTTTTTGTGCAATTCAATGGTCAGTGAAGGCTAAAATCCTAAATTGGGTAGCACTCCAACACATTGTACATGTTAGCTAAGGGGCGGGACAGCTCTAAGCGTTTGACCAATCAATCAATCAATCAATCAATCAATCAATCAATCAATCAATCAATCAATCAATCAATCAATCAATGTTTATTTATATAGCTCAATATCACAAATGTTACATTTGTCTCAGTGGATTTCACAGTTTGTACAGAATATCAGTATGACAATACGACACCCTCTGTCCTTAGACCCTCACATCATACAAGGAAACACTTCCGAAGAAAACCCACAGTTTAAAGGGGAGAAACCTCAGGGAGAGCAACAGAGGAGGTTATCCCTCTCCCAGGACGGACAGACGTGCAATAGATGCCGTGTGTAAATCAAAGAGATAATACATTTACAACATAGGTAGTCCAAATGTTTGGAAATGCATGTGGCTATAATAAGAAGATGAATCCACGAGGATGTCAACAGTCCTGTGGGAGCCATCAGTGAAGTAGTATGATGAGTCAGGTAGGACCGCAGAGACAGGTTCAGCCAAGACTCGAAATCCAGGACTCAGGATCCAGGGCTCGCGATCCAGGACTCAGGACCACAGCAACAGGATCAGTCACGACTCAGGATCTCGCCGTAGATAGACACCAAAAATAAATTTGGGGAAGCTGGGTTATTCGGAACATGAGAGTACACAGGTATAGACAAAGAGAAGGAAGAAGTAAGATGTCCCCCGACAAACTAAGCCTATAGCAGCAAAACTAGGGGCTGAATCTAATCAGCCCTAACTATAAGCTTTATCAAAAAGGAAGGTCTTACGCGCACTCTTAAAAAACGGATAGGGTGTCTGCCGCCCGAACACAAACTGGAAGCTGATTCCACAAATGTGGAGCTTGATAAGAAAAGGCTCTGGCTCCCATTGTACTTTTAGAGACTCTAGGAACAACCAACAACCCTGCATTCTTGGAACGCAATGCCCTAGTAGGACAGTAGG